TCCTAATAGCATTTGAAAAAGGAAAGGCTCTTGTTCAAAAGTGTTCCAAAATGCCATCTGCTCCAGGAGCTCCAACCTAACAGCCGTTGTTTCAGCTACCCTCTCCTGAGAAAACGAACATTTTTCTTTAGAGGTCATTGACAATTTGCTTATAGTAGCTTGGAAGAAGTCGCTAACATGTTTGGTCCTCAGATGAGCTACCCTTAGACTACTGAACCAGCCCCTTTTTTGTTCATCCACACACTCACTTTTCTACCCTAGTACCACACATGTGCTGCTACTGAAAGAAGCTTCCTGACAATAATTCTGCTCCCAGCACACTGCAGCATAGCAACAAGCATGTATCCTCCACCGCCAACAAACATGATAAACTACTTGCCTTTCTGATAAACATCTGAACAGAGGCTCACAATTGTGTTGCTGCACACAGTACTTCCCTGCAGTAGTGAGCAGCAGCAGCAGGGTAAACTTGAAATGGTATAGATCAAATAATCAGAAACTGGATCTCAAATACAGTGTTCTAGAAACATTTTATCTACTCTTCAAGTAGGTATAGAATAAATCATGCCCCCCTCTTCAGTTTAAAATATCATTACCAGGGATCCTGGTTCTCTGTTTAAAACCCCAAAATTCTCCAATTTAAAGGGGGGAAAAAAATCCATATTGATTAAACCCCCCCCTAAAATCCACATTTTCCCCACAATTAAAATGAAATGCTGCTTTATACATATATGCATGCACATACACACATATAGGTATTAGTTGAGCACAAAGTTTTATTGACACATTTACAATATTAAAGCAATTTGGAAGTCTGCCAGTGCCTTGACCATCACAATAAAATAAATTCTAAATATCTATAACATTTTGGCATTTGATTTTGTTTTTTTATCATGGAAAATCAGAGCTCCCCATGCCCTTTGCTCACCAGAACACAGATCCAGCTGCAGCTGTTTCCCCCCACCAGAGGGAGCCCCCAGCTGCCAGGGTGATGGAACGAGGGGCAGGGGCTGCAGCCCCCCCATCCCACTCCCTAGCAGCACCCAAGAACTGGTTGCTAGGTGTGGGAGGTGGCAGTTCCCGAGGCCAGAGTGGAGCCTGGAGCCCAGGCTCTCCCCCCACCCCCTCCACCACTGACATGGCTGGAGCAGAGCCCTGAGGGGGTAGGATGCAGGCTGCCCGCTGTGGGACTTTGGTCTCCCCACCCTGCTGACCTCTCCCCTGGGCCTCCACAACACAGTGGGTGGGACCCGACACAGAAGAGCAAAGAGGCTTGGTGCTGTTGCTGCCACAAGCCCTGTAGCAGCCAGGCCACCAGGGTGAGGTGCCCCCTGTCTGCCTGGCAGCGAGCCCAGTGGTGGCGCAGTTGTACCCTCCGCTGCAGCTAGGCACACAGGCAGATGCCTCATCCTGGTGGCACAGCTGGTGCAGGGCTTCCTCTCTGGAAGTGCACACAGTGGTAGGAAGCCAGCCCCCCTGTACTTCCCCAAGATAAGCCACCCATGGCCGGGCCTCTCAGCCATGTATTCCTGACCCAGCCCCTGCCCTGGCTGGGCAGCACCTCCAACCCCAGCTGCTAATCCTCCCCCACTCTCTCCCTCACAGTGGGGGCAATCTGCCCTGCTTCCCCATACAATTACCTACAGGCAGCTTCTTTCCACCACTGCCTGGCTCTGTTGCTGGGCACATGCATGTGTGTGCATGCACACGTGCACATGGCACCCCCTGCTTCTTGCTCTCCCCACCCCTAGCAGGCTGGAACTCTGCCAGCCTGCAAAGGGGAACCCAGTTTCCTGCATTTTTCTCCTTTAAAGGAAAAAAATCCACTTTTCCCCACATATAAAATCCAGGATTGGGAATAAAGGCTCCAACTAGAACAAAAAAGAAACAAAGAGCCAGGAAACATTACAATTCAGCACTGAGATGGTGATGATCATTTTCAATGAAAGGAAAAGGAAGTCATGAGAAGACTTTCTACGCACAAATAAATTTAATGTCAGATTTGTAAAGCTAAAACTTGCAAAACAAATCTCTATAGATAAAATGTAAGAATTCCTTCCTACCTGCGTGTTTTGAAAGTAGTGCCTCCAAAGAGGTCTAATTTTATCTTGACCACCAACATCCCAAACGGTAAAACAAATGTTTTTATATTCTACAGTTTCCACATTAAAACCTAAAAGAAAAAAAAAAAAAAAAAGAAAAGGGGTTAAATGTTCACAATGACAATGTATAAACATAATTGCTATAAAATGTTAACTGTGCTCTCATGATCATTCACTTTCAAAAAGGAAAGCTTGATGAGCAGGCTTTTGTTAAGATGGCATCAAGTTCTATAAGATGGTAAATTTTGGGAGGGGTCTAACTCTATCCTACATGCTCGTTGGGGAAAGAACCCAACAACTAACCCTTTCCTTAAAAATAAGGTCTTAAAAAGAGAAACACTTAAAAATAAAAAAATAAAAAGTCCTTTCTGCTTCAGGGGATTTTAACTTTAAGTCTGAACTAGATTACAGAAAACTTCACAGTAATGATGAAATATAATACAAATCTGTTTACTTACCAATAGTGGGAATTGTGGTGACAATTTCTCCTAGTTTCAGTTTATACAGAATAGTTGTTTTGCCAGCAGCATCCAAACCAACTAGAAAAAAAAGTTTCACAATACAACCTAAGTTAAGTTATTTAAGATATTCTCATTAGACGCAACAGGGAAGCAATTCATTTTTCAGTGAGCAACTGGTCAATTCAGAAAGTTCTGATATACCACTAAGTAGGTTTCCTCCTTACTTCTCCTCTGCCTATCACTGAGTCACTGACACAAGCCAATTAGCTAGTAATTTAAGTCAAATTCCAGATTCTCTCCACCTACACACTTAGAAAGCTTTGTATTTCTTCTTTTGCAGAAACTGCATAAAACCAGATTTTTTTTTAAATGTGCAGTTCAAATTTAATCCTCTCCTGAATATTTTCATATATTTGTTATATCTGGCATTATTTTCTAGACAACAGCCAGAACTATGCTTTCTTTCCTCCTCAGTCATTCAGTATCTAGATTAGAAATTGTGGCCTTATCTATTACTGATCCCTTTGTTGCCTCCAGATCTAGCTACTGCTTTGTGTAGTATTTGGTTTTACCTTGGATTACTTATGCTGTTTCAGCTATCGTGAAAAGCAGCAGTCCACTGTGCAATACCTTGTATACACTGCTGTTCCACTGACCATAAAGTAGAATTTGCATTGTTTTTACACATAAAGCATCAAAGGATTGTGGCCTAGCTGCTATACATTTTTCTTCCCCAAACTTTATTCCTATTCATTTAAATCTATTAAATCTGAGCTATTCTGGAACTCGGGGGAGGGGGGGGGAGCACTCTACTGAAGAAATGGCTTCTCTGTGTGGCAGTTAACATAAGTGCAGAACTTCAAGGCAAACTACAGAGGAAACCTTTTTAAGAGTGAACTTAGAAAGGGGTGAATGGGAAGGCTCTTCTGAACGGAAGATTGTTAGTTTATTTTTTTAAAGTTATTTAAAGTGGACACACACCCAAATAGACTAAGACTTCATGGACCATAATGATATTTCATTATACTATGGAGTGGTTATGCAATCTTTGACCCAGAAAACCAATTTATCACCTTACATTTCTAAATATATTTTAATCCAGTACGTAGGTGGACAAAGAAATAGTTATGTATTTAAACTGCAAGAGTGAACATTCAACGAAGACATATACCACTTATTAAAAACACCACCATGAGAACCCAAGGCATTCAGAAGGCAAGACAACAACAACAAAAAAACCCCCACGCATTATTTTTGTTACACTTTCCGCCAAACTAAAAAAATGAAACTGAAGCGGAAGGAGGGGAGGGAAATCACAAGAACATTATAGCACTGCCAACCCACTCAGCAGCAATTTCTGTATGAATACTGGCATATCTTTACTGAATAACACTCTACCATGTTTTGTACTCATTTCTTAGTTGCTATTTTTGTGGCCATCCTGCACTCATATTTGAGGTCCCTGACTATTTAATTATACATGCACTAGTTGGGTATTATGTCAGTTTCCTTTATATTACAACATAATGTAGTGCAATTTGAGATTACTCAATTACTTAATCAAAATGAAACCAAACCCTAACAAAAAAAAAAAAAAAGCCTCTAGCCTCTTCCTTCTCAAACACACACAACTAACTGCTTTGGCATGGCACAATTCCTACGAGCAAAACTTCCACATAAGCCAGAGGTGGACAAAATATGGCCCATGAGCTGGATAGGGCCCATCAAGGGACTTTATCCAGCCCACAGTGTGTCCCTTGGCCCTGCCTGGCTTACAGGTGGGGGACAGCCCAGGCCATGGCGCACAACACTGGTCCCAGTGCCCCAGGGATTTCAGAGGGGTGGGGGCACCGAGGTGGCTGGGCTTGGCTTCCCGGCAGCCCCCAGAGCAACAGCTCACTCTGCCTGGCTCCTGCTGCCAGTCTGCCCCGCACCCACCAGTGGGGATGCTGGACAGAGCAGACGGGCAGGTTCTCCACAGAGACCCCCATGGGCCAGGTGCACTCAGCTGGAGAGATGGGATGGGGCTAAAGGAAGGTGCGGCTGGGATTGCAGTGCAGTGATAGCACAGGGCCAGGGATCGGGGCAGAGCTGCAATTTGCTCCCATGTCTCTGTGATAAGCACCAGTTTCATGGACAGGCAGGTGTGGAGAGTGGATCGCAGTTCTGTACAGGCCCCAGCACTGTGCTGTCACTACTTTGTGATCCTGATCCTCATCTCCGTGATCCTGGCCCTAGTCACCCCCGTCCCACTCCCAGATGCTGCTCCCCACTCACCCATGACCCCATCCTATTTGCCAGGCCGAGCCTGCCCTTCTTGCAGGGGTCCCAGGCCAGTCTCCATGGAGACCCCAGCTGGTGACCCAGCCATGGGTGCAGGACAGATGGCCCAGGACTGGATAGGACCAATTGCCTGCCTCCCTTCACAACAACTCACCAAAACTCCTTAAGTAGCCCTCCAGCCCAAATAACTACCCACCCCTGCCATAAGCATTCTACAGTATTTGGGGTAATTTATGAATAAGCAACAATATATATAGATGCATACAAGTTAACAGAGCCAGCCTTTGGGAAAAAGCTGCCCTGGGGGAACTTGTATTTTGGTGTCGTCCCTCTGCCCCCAAGTCAGAGGTGTTGCTGCAGGTGGCCCCAACCCCAGCTGCTGCCATGGTACAGTCACCCACCACCTGTCAGCCTCACCCACTGCTGCGTGAGCACCTATTTGGAGCCGCCGCTGAGGCGGGAAACGATAGCTACATCCCCGGAGCAGCTGTGTGGCCAGCCCCAAACAGAATGGGGGAGGGGGCAGCTGCCCAGGCAGGTGGCCCTGTCCCCAGCTCAGTCCCCATCACTGTGGACATTTCCCCAACCCCATGACTGGGGGTGGGGAACATGCTCCTGCACTGCCTGGCTCAGTACTGGCTGGAGGTGAGGATAGGCTGAGGCAGGGGTAGAGTGCTGGGGGTGGGTGTAGGTGTGGCACCCCCCGATGCCCTCCCCTGACTACGGCACCCTAGGCTGTCCCCTAAGTCTGGCTCTGCAAGTTAAGGCATTTTCTCAAGTACTTTCCCCTCACATGTTAGTACACAGCTTTTATAGATATTATTTTAACTGGAAAAACCAAAACCAAGCTTTTTTGAAGAGCAAGAAAACAAAAAGATTTCCCAAAAGTCAATTTAAGAGCTGGCTTTTTTAAACGTTGTTACGTTTTTATTCTGTAATTGCTAGATGCTGATCCCTTATAACACCAATAACCGTTCCTCCCTCACTCCCCTAAATGATTAGTAGGAGCAACAGATGGTCACAAAACACTTTTATCCTGATACTGCAATATTATAAAATACAAATGTTGGTTTAACATTTTTCCTTATACCTATGAATACTGGGTAGCTTCTAAAGAAAGGACTTTGTAGGGAACTCTGAACTCCTTCAAATATATGCCAGCTGTACAGAAGTAACGTCTTTAATAGTCCAAGGTATCACAGTCCAAGGCTGTTCTTTCAGAGCTAAGCCACACTAGTGGGCATTGCCAGATGGAAAACAGGGTACCTGTACCCTTAAGAGAAGTCATAAGTATTATGTGCGTATCTTTACATAAGGTAACAAGGAACTTTTCTCCATGAAAAAATTTAAGACACATTGGGGG